GAACCTGGGTCTTCTGCAAGAACAACAAGTACTCTTAACTCCTGAGCAAGCAATCCACTTCCTGTCCAAATCTCTTAATGCCACAATCTAGCAGGCATATATGGATTGAGGGTCTCAGTGTACATTAGGAACAGAATATCCAACTATTTTACTGTATTACAAAGTGTGATTTGCCAACAAGCAAATGAGGTAAAGACTGTTACTTGTGTCTCATTACCTTATTGAACCCGTCTCAGTAAAAATATTCATTACTTCCAGTAAAAATCAAGAAAAATCGGCTGGGCAGTAGTAGGGTACAATAACCTCAGCACTCAGGAGGCAGAAGCAGGTAGATAGATCTCTTCAGTTAGAGGCCATCTGTGATCGTTTGTATATGCTCAGCCCAGGGAGTGGCACTATTAGGAGGTGTGGCCCTATTGGAATAGGTGTGTCACTGGATGAGGGCTTTAAGACCCTCATGCTAGCTGCCTGGAAGGCAGTATTCTGCTAGCAGCCTTCAGATGAAGACATAGAACTTTCAGCATCTCCTGCCCTATGCCTGCCTGGATGCTGCCATGTTCCTGTCTTGATGATAATGGACTGAATCTATGAACCTGTAAGCCAGCCTCAATTAAATGTCGTTCTTTTGAGTTGCCTTGGTCATGGTGTCTGTTCACAGCAGTAAAACCCTAAGACACCATCTTTGTCTACAGTGCGAGTTCTAGGACAGGCAGGACTACACAGAGAAACTGTCCCCACCCCAACCAAAATCAAGCCATATATTTGCCTTTTAATTTTCCTTGGCAAGGTCTTCCTTTTATTTTTGCTTGGCAAATACCTGCGGGTGAGATATAAGCAGAAACGTGTTTAACACCTGGAAAACTGTTTTTACAGTGATAGTTATGACTATTCTTTTGTAGGCCAATCTAATCCTTACTAATGTTGTAGTGTAGAATATTGATGTTCTTCTATCTATTTTATGTAGCAAATCCTATAATCCAATGGCCATCATTTACTACACTTCATTTCCTGGTTATTAAATTCTAACAGAGTTGCAAGGGGAAAATGAAAAGCAGTATTTTGGCTGTTACTCAACACTTCAAGGGATAGATGTCATGGCTTAGCATGGATACAACTGGCTTCTACCTAGTCACCAGCAAGACCAGCTTTTCTTAGTAGAGTAAAACAGGTACCTACCTAGCTTTTGCTTTCTGGCAGAGCAGAGTCTGGGCCTGGCCAAGCTCACCACCCTTTCCCATTTTCTTAGGTCACATTTGCACGGTTTTGACCTAAACAGAGAAATGGGAGACTGAACAGTTGAGAGCAAAGAATCCCATCAGGAGGATTTGGGTCATGGATGTTAAATCCAGTGGCTAAGAGCACAGAAATCAGTTATTCCCAGAGGCATTAGCAGGATTGGGGAGCACGCTGAGTGGCAAATAGATTTCTACCATGCCCTGTAATGTAACTGAGAAATCTAAGCCACTCAGATGTACTACTGCTTTCTGGAGAAGTATTAAAAGACAGTATAGATCATAGAATAGCATTAAGTATTTTTGGCCTAAGTTACTGAAATTCAAATAAAACAGTTTTAAAAAAGATTTATTTTTTGTATGTGAGTACACAGTCACTGTCTTCAGGCACACCAGAAGAGGGCATCAGATCCCATTACAGATGTCTGTAAGCCACCATGAGGTTGCTAGGACTCTAACTCAGGACCTCTGGAAGAGCAGTCAGTGCTCTTCTGAGTCATCTCTCCAGGCCCTAAAACACTTTTTCACAGGACAAAAGACTTGGTATTTAACTTGCTTCCCCTCTCACTGCTAAGGAGACACAAGCTGGTCAGGGGAAAGAACTGCTTTGAAAAGAGTCAACTCGAAGTTCACAACTGCCCTCCTTGCCTCCTAGGAAAGCACTACAGGAACACCCGGGTCACTCCTTCCCTTTGACTGTCCGCACACATGGGTCAAGTCACACAGTAGCTTCCTTACAGAGTCCATCACCTGGAAAACTGGATACCCACTTTCTTGGTTTTTTTCACCACCTCCACTTTTCCATTTCAGTGCTTAGAAGTTCTGTTTGAGGGTCCAAATGTGGCAAAAACTATTACAGGCTTCTAAGCTGCGACAGCTGCAGAGGCCAAGGACGTTGGCTGAACAACTGACAAACCTTTCCAGGGGAAGATCTGAAGTGGAGAACTTGAAAAACACCTTCCAATTTGTCAGGGACATGGAAAGATCACTGTCTTTTACAGTGGTCAAAGTTCTAAAAGCCGAGAATCCCAGTGCCTAGTTAGCCAGTCCCCCACACTTCAAAACACAGAGATTGGATTCTTTTATTTTTCTTTAGGAACACAGAGTACCAGTCAAAAGGAGGACCACAGGGCTCTAGAAAAATAAAGTTACTGGGCTTTAGGGACTGTCTTTGCACCACAGATTTACACCATATGGACTTAAACCAGAACCAATGTTCAAGGAGCCAAAAGAATTAGTATAACAAGAGATGGACTGTGACAGTTTCTTCTAACAGCAAAAATAACTAGAGTGCTACACAGAAACCTGAGAGAAACTTGAGTTTTCTGAAATAAAAATGTGAAACTACCATGTAAAGGTCTCTGGATCTCCTGAGGGAGACAAGAAGCTTGCTTTTAAAAACAAAACCTACATAGGTTGGTTTTCTTCTTGGATGCTTATGTCAGAGCATGATCATGTCTTTAGTCTATGGAATGAACACTCAGTCTCCAAGACCATCCTTTTGTCTGCCTTGTTATCTTCATGGGTTTCCTTCAACCATTCTGAAGCCTTTCCCAAGAATTCCAAAAGGCCTATCTCCCATAGCTGTAATAGCTCCCACCAAAGTCTCCCCCTCAAGCCTGTCCTGTCTAAGGGCATGGCCCAAAAGTTATAGTTGGATTCACCAGCAGACCAAGCACACGATTCTTCTGATGTTCAATATGTCAATACAACCGCCGTCCAGTTAAGTTTAATTTTGTGCGTTTGAATCCTTCCCATGTGGGCCCACTGTCCAGGCAGTCTGGGACAGCCATGCTACCTCAGGACTGCTGCAATAGCTCTCAGCAGTACTTAGTTCAGGAGACAATGAAAAAGACCAGACGGCAGCGTTTTGAAGTCCGTCTAAGAAACTGGTATTAACATAAGCAGGTAACTGAAGTCACTGAAGTTTTTATGTCCAAACTAGCAAAGACTTGGAGTAGGACAAACAAAAGGCACAAGAAACTGCTAAACATATTGGGAGAAATGGAGAAAAGTGGTCTAACAAATTATGAACAATAGTCTTTAAAAAAAAAAAAAGTGGTGAGTTGGGTGTGGTAACAAGTATCTGCCATCCTAGAACAGAGAGGTGGAGGCAGAAGGATTAGGTAGGTGCTCAAGGCCATTCTTGGCTACATGTAAATTTGAAGCTAGCCCAGAATACAGACCTTGTCTTTAAAAAGAAAAAAACAAAACAAAAAAGCAACCCAACAAGCTTATAGGTGAGAACAGCTTCAGACCCCATTAGATAAATTTCTTTGTAGAGTGGAAGGTGGTAAACACTGAAACTCATAACTGGTCACAGGTATGAAGAGCAAAATGTGGCAAGTTCAGTCACAGTAACTGAGACAGCAGTTATCTCAGATAGCCTCTGATGCAGAGTCTACCTGAGACTGTAGCCCAACAGTTAAGGATGTAATCTAAGGAGCTCAACTGTCTTGGCTTGACTTGAAGGCTGGCTCACTTAATCCAAGGGGTCTTGAGCACAAACCTTAATCTGGCTGGACCTTAGTCTCCTCCATATGACGATGCTATATTTAAATGACTCTAGAGATCACATGTAAAATATTACAGCAAAGAATAGAAAGAAAAAAGGGGCTCTGGAGCCTTGAATTATTCACTAAGAATATGAAGCAGGAAAGAGTAGGCTTGATTTTGAGACGTTTTTCACTGACCTTGAAGTCACAGAGTAAGCCAGGCCAGGTTGGCTGGCCAGGAAACCCCACGAGTCTGTCAGTACCCATCACTGGGATTATATGCCTGACAGCTGTTGCTTCTATAAACATGGGTTCTGAGGTTCAAATTTAGGTACTTGTACTTGCAAATTTTGTATGTTGTAAATTATGATACTAATCCTGTATGTGATAATTAGCAATTATAAAAAGCTATATTTTGTCTTTGAAATCACTGTTTAAAAAATAACAGGCCAGGTGCAGCGACTCCCCTCTTAGAAGGTAGTCCATGGACGGACTGAGAATGACAACGTTGTCAGTGTCGCAGTCTGTGTGTTCCAGAGTCTGTCAGATCGCGTCTAAGAGTGAGCTTTAACACTACTACCCTCTCGGTCCCTCAGCCAATGGTTCCAACCTCACCCGCTTTAGTTATAACATGACTATTCATTATGACACGTGATGGTTTGTATATGCTCAGCCTGGGCTGGGGCGGTGTGTGTGTTTTACTATTAGAAGGTGTGCCACTGTAGGTGTGAGCTTTAAGACCTTCATCCTAGCTGTCTGGAAGCCAGTATTCTGCTAGCAGGCTCCAGATGAAGATGTAGAACTTTCCGTTCTGCCTGTACCATCTTGCCTTGATAGCTGACTGAACCTCTGAAACTGTAAGCCAGCCCCAATTAAATGTTCTTTTTAAGGGTTGCCTTGGTCATGGTGTCTGTTCACAGCAATAATGCCCTAAGTAAGATAACACATGCTCATTATAAATTGCTTGGGAATAAATATGCATATTAGTCAAGTGAGCTGGCAGTTGTATTTAGGTGAACTCTGCTCCTCCCCCCTCCTCACCGCCCCACCCCCCCCCCGGAAGCAGAGGAAAGCATAAAATAAATTTATTCTTTGTTGTTCAGTTTTATAAAGCTCAACACTTTTCACAACCTACCAGATAACATATGTTTTCAGCTTACAGAAACAAGCATACCAATTGTCCAGTAAGGCCTGCACTAGCCAGGTGCATACGGAGCTCATCCTGAAGAAAGAGCGTTCATAAGTCACTTACTTCAAAGGCAATAAAATGCACTTTCTCCCCCTGAAGACCGTTATGCTCTTTAATTACTTTTTAGACAAACAACACACCGCCCACTGGCAGACCCAGTCACCCAGCAGCCCAGCAACACACGAGCTTCTCAACCACTTGGGAACCTCTACCTTCTTCACAGTGCTCAATTTTCATTGCCAAGCTTCTGGGCAGATTCACTTTTCACTGGAAAAAAACACATAAACATACAGTCAGATGTTTATACTGCTCAGCCTGTTCTGTTTTCTCTACATCTCTCCTCCCTTCTGATGCATAGCAACAGTGCTGCTTTGCACAGGGACAGACATGGCATGTCCCAGGCAGCCAGGATCCACAAGTCTGGACACAGGAAAAAGAACTGATGGGTGAAAGTGGCAATTACATTCTGCACTTCCAGAGGTCACGAGTTCAAATCCCAGCAACTGCATGGTGGCTAACAACCATCTGTAATGATATCTGATGCCCTCTTGTGGGGTGTCTGAAGACAGCTACAGTGTACTTACATATAATAAATAAATAAAAATTTAAAAAAATGAAAAGGTTTGCCATTTTCAAATCTCTTAAAAAAAAAACAACCTTAAAATTAATGGTCAGTATATGTGAGCGAATGTGGGCTGACAGAAGGCTGAACACAAATGGAGCATCTCTGAAGCTTTTACTCTCAGGGTGAGCAATACCCAGCCAGGCACTGAAGTCAGTCCTTCATGACCAAAGCCAACCTCTCCTCCCTGGGTCTGTCTCATCATGTGCAGTAGACTGAACCCTGTAATTGTATGTTACTCTGTCCTTAGAAATCATAAAATTAAAAGGAAGTAACATATTTAAAGTACTTTTAAACTTGTTAACATTAAAATATGATTAGGGTCTGGAGCAATGGCTCGGGCTTAAGGGTACTTACTGCTCTTTCACAGAACCAAAGCTTGGTTCCCAATACACATGGGGCAGGCACAGAGAAATTCACAACTGCCTATAACTTCAGTCTCTTTTGGACTTTGACAGCACTGTATGTAAGTGTGAGTACACACACATACACACACACACACACACACACATTTAAATAAAACTAAATCTTTAAGAGATTATTTTACATAAAGACAATAGTGTTTATCTCAATGAGGCAGAGAAGAAGGAGGAAGCCGGTAGAGGATTTACTTGGGCTAGAAAGATAAGCTTGGTCCTCTGTCTCATATTCCAACTGACTGGTTCCTTGGGCTTCATTTAGATCTACAGTTGTACTGGCAAACAAAATGACATTTGGTGAGTCTTTCCTATGCGTAAGGTACCGTAATATTGCCACCTCAGGCAATATCCATCTTGGGAGTTTTATAAACTCCAGAACCTCTCAGATTCCTCCAAGATCCTCTAAGTTAGTTATTTTGTCCTTGGCTTTCCCTGCAGGGTTTATCACAGCACCCACGGTACACACAGCTTAGCTGTACTTTGTAGGCCTGAGCCTCACCATTACCTTCACAATAAAAGGTAAAGAAAGCAAAAGGGCTGAGGAAGGATGGGGGAGGGGAGTCAACGAAAGGATTTATTTTCCCAACAAGAGACTGACATCTGAAAGGTGTTCTGCCAGGTAACGAATGTCCCTGTCTAATCTGAGAGAAGCTCCGCAGCAAGGAAGCACACCTGCCCTTCTCTTTGACTTTCCACAGGGCTCTGTCCTTTTCCTCAGAAGACAGCACAGGCTGCTTTCTCAAGTCACTCCCATCTGCTACTGGATGTCCACAGAGGAGGTCCTGTGCAGGTGCTTACAGTGTGCTCAGCTCTCCACAGGATGCAAAGGTGTTTGCCTGTGTGTGTGTGCATGTGTATGCGTGTGCATATGCACTCGTGTGTGCACACATGTGTGCATACCCTCCCACCGCCATGTGCCAGAGTTAACTAGCACTTTCCTCTCCTGCCTAGCCCTTCAGTAGTACAGTTAACACTTCTCACTCCTTAAAAAGAGAAGGAAGGACAAACAAGCAAGCAAATACCCAAACCCCTTACCTATGAATATAGGCAGACCTAACCATGGCAATCTCCAACCAAACACTGTAACAACCATCAACTGTAGATTACATTTTCTAGAAACACATCCTCCCCCGAAAAGAGAACTCTATTCTCAGGATAAAACTTCAATTGGAGAGAACAAAATTTTCAATGCTTTTCCAAGAAAATGTTCTGTTCTTACAGAACCTTCCTCGTCTGAGCCACCTTGCAGAAGATCAATGCTACAGGATGGCACAGGGAAACATGCAGCTCGATATGCTAAGGAAAATAAATGCATGTCCACAGGCCTGCCCTTACTGCTAAGGGAGGGAGAGTGCACTTAGGATATGACAGCCATGGCAGGACCCTGTCAGACCACTGCAGATTCCCTTTGCAGCTCAGCCCTAGACAGCCCTTTACATTGAAGGAAGAGTCCTCTGTGTGTGCCTGTAAATAAGTCCAAAATAACGTAACCAATTCTCCGTGAGGTCCCTGTACAGGATGAATTCCCCTTTCTTCCCGCTTCATCCCAGGAAGCCTTGCTTGGATGCGTTATTCCTAAACAAGGTGAAAGAGGAGCTGTGTGTGCTGTTTGTTTACACAGCCCATGTTTGCCCTGGCTAGGAACTCACCTACTGCTTTCCCTGAAACCAACATCTACAAGACTTAACGCTATGGTAATCATCTTGAAGAAAAAGGTTTTTTACAAAGATTAAAGAAGGAAAAATGATTACGTAAAATTGAAATTTCAAATGTGAAAAAATGGGCTATTCTCAAATGGTAAAAGAAGAGGCAAGAATAAATATGAGGCTTAGAGATTCTTGACTTATTTCTAAAAACTCCATATTTGTTAATCAGAATCTAGTGTCAAGATGTAGCACTGAAAGAATTTTCAAAGAATTTATTTTATTCAAGAAAGAAAAAAAATGACATACATACATACATGTATACATGTGGAGAGAAAAACCTTACAAACAGGCCACATTTTGTTATGCAACAAAACGCAATCCACATTTGCAGAATAAATTCATCTAAAGGACAGATTCACAGTGTCTTGAGTCTGCTGCAATGCAGCCTGGCCTGTACCACAGTCTCTCAGTGGACATATCACCTCAGGGCTCTGAGGGAGCTTCTAGAACAACTGCTGAGCTGTGACCCAGCCACACTCCTGTATTCTGTAGTGAAACTAGGTTACTTTCATCAACGGCTGGAACGCAGGTAAGCGGTTTTTATACACTAAACATTCACACGACTCCCAGTTTTAGCAGGTTTAATGTCCTCTCACATGGACAAAGAATCAGAAGAGGCAGGAAATAAAACCCGTGAGTTTAAAGAGGTAAACAGAGAGGGGAGCCACAGCAGCTTAACTAAACACGGCCGGATGTTAAACCCAACCTTCCCTGCAGCAGCACCCTTTCCTAGAAGGGAGGCTATCAAACAGTCATTTCAAAAGATTTCAGGAATCTCTTGAGTTTTCTGCAGACAGTAAACTGTATCTTGACAATTCAAATAAGCCAAAATATCCTTTTCAGCAAGACACTCGATTCACCCATTCTAATCAGCAGCATGAATGTCACACATCCTAACGGGGCAGAAATGGCACCTGCTTGTTTGGTACTTCACAGTATCAGTTGCTGAACACAGTAAATTCTTTCACATCTATTAACACAGTGGGGAAACACACAGATAAAATGTAGTAGCAGTCATGCTATTGCTTGTCCCTTTAAAAATGGAAAATACAAACTGCTTACCTGCTTGGTGAAGAAGCTGCATGTCATTACTAGATCCTTTCAACACGATATGCAAAGTTGGATATTCAATGATCACTTTGTTCCTCAAGTTGTCTAAAAGACTTTTGTAAGGATCCAGTTCATAATACCTTAAGAAAAAAAAAAACAAAAACCCACACTTATGTCTTCTAAGAATCCAGGCAAAAAGACTACTATTGAAATGAACTGATAAGTATACAAGTGCCTATAACCAAACACATAACAGCTGCGGCAAGAGGTTCATGACTTTGAGGGTATCCTAGGCTACATATTGAGTTCCAGACCAATTTGGGTTACACCTTGAGACGCTGCCTCAAGGGATCAAAAAAACAGCAAGCAATCAAACTGTATAGCAAGCAGGGCATGGTGGTACATGCATCCATGTCACTTACTTGGGAAGCTGAAACAGGAAGTTTGCGGCTAGTCTAGGAAATGACTGCAAGACGCCATATTTAGAAAAAAAGGTCTACCAGATATTGGCACTTGAAAGAACCTAAACCAAGTCTCTAGTTTTCATATAGACTGAGAAACGAACAGTTTTATATAAAATCAATGTTCAATGCATCATAAACTTTTCTTTGACAGGTAAAATTGAAATTCCTCAAATCTATTTACTTTGAACTTTAAAAACATAACTAGCTACAAAATACTTTTGTAGAAAGTCAATTCTACTTAGAACTGGTTTCCAGAAGTTTATATTGCCATGAAGTTAAATTTGGTTTGTCTTCATCTTGATACTTTAATACTTTTGGTTTGTGAATGTGATAAAAGTGAGAAATCTAAGAATCACAGTCTTATTGGGCATGGTACCAGACACAGCTGATAATACGCAACAGTTAATTAGCAACATGCACTAAGGAATAAGGCTGCCAAGTTCTTAAGACAGAGCGGGCTGTGGGTGCATCCTCCTGACATCTCCTTTGCTTGCTCTCTGGACTAGTGTGTCAGCTTGCGTGCAGTTCATGCTGGCATCTGAATGTCGTGCAGGATCATGCTGGCATCTGAATGTCGGTCATTTCAAGTCACAAGAAAATGCCAGGCCCACCAGCTTCACTCTTCCCTACCAATGACACATGACACTCAGAGGCAAACTCTTCAAAGGATCTTCCATCCTTGCAGAGGACCTGGGTTTGGCTCCCAGCACCCACATGGGTGCTCCCAACCACCTGAGTCCAGCCCCAGTAGGTCCTATTGTCTCCAGCCTCCTCAGGCACCTGTACACGCACATGCTTAAACAATACACACAATGGAAATAATAATGAAAAATCAATCTTTAAAAAAGAAAGCAGCCTGGAGTGTATAGCGTGAAGGTTCAAGAGCAGAAATGTCCCGTGGACGCACTGCAGCCTCCTGTGACTCAGTAAATCACGGCTGAGTTTGGCATCTCTTAATTAGCATCAAGTTATTTGTATATGGAGTTATGAACTCAGATAACAGCAATTTCTGTTCCAAGGCTGTCCTGTGCAGCAAGGGAAACAGAAGTGCTTTAAAAATGCAAAGCCACGTCTGCCATGGTAACAGGACTTCCTCAGAGGATGACACTGAAAGACTGAGTGTGCAGGAAACCTGTGCGTGAGCTTCTCTGACTATCACTCTACCAAGAACTGGAGTATTTACTTCAGAATCACAGAGCATTAAAAAGAAGCATGAAATGCAAAGTAACTGCATTTTCTGAACCAGCATCTGTGGTCACACACCACTTTCTCCCTGGGTAACAGAAGACAGATGTGCAGAAAATATTTTACAAGTGGGTCCAGGATTTAAGGATCAAATACTTCACATCTTTCAAACATTATTTCCCTTAAAAATAAACAACGTGGGGCTGGAGGATGGCTCAGTAGTTGTACTCAGTGCTCTTGCAGAGAACCTGGGTTCCATTCCTGGAGCCCACAGGACACCTCACAACTGTTTGTTACTGCCCTTCCAGGACACCTGACGCCCTCCGCTGACCTCTGCCAGTACTACATACATGTGATGCACTACATACGTGCAGGCAAAGCACTCATACACATGCATAAAACTAAATATAAATTAAAAATCATCAATTAAAATAACCCCTAGGCTGGGCAGTGGTGGTGCATGCCTTTAATCCCAGCACTTGGGAGGCAGAGGCAGGCGGATTTCTGAGTTTCAGGACAGCCAGGGCTACACAGAGAAACCCTGTCTTGAAAAACAAAAATAAAATAAAATAAAATAACCCCTAGTTGTAGTTACACTGAGAAAACCAGATTACATTAGATAGCTGAACATGAAACTAGTGTACAGTATACAATGATGCCCCTGAACTTTTCCTAGGGGAAACAACCCAGGCTCTCAGTCAGGTCTTTTCAGGCCACATGGGGTACACACTTAAAATAGCTTATCTTCTACCCATTTAATCCTAACCACACAGCTTCCCCTAGGGTACTTCACAAATAAAGGGATGTTTCTATTGATTTTAGCTTTTTTTTTGGCAAATAATTTTCTGTGTATAGTTAATACTTTCAGTATTTTATTTCATTTTGTAGCATTCATTCTGCATTTGGTTGCTTTAGATTGTCAAAAGTCACATGGACTCAAACCCCACATCGACTCAGCAATATCATTGCTGTTAAAAAAAAAAAATAACAAAATAAAAACATGCTCCCAGCAAAGGAATGTTCACAGATACATGAAACCGACAAGCAAGTTACACATCAGATGCCTGAAACTGTCAGGGTTACACCTGGTTACCATGAGAAGCCAGTCTTATTGCGTGAACCAAGCAGGCATAATGCAGAACACTTAGTACACAGATTTTTACAAAGCGGTCAACTAAAGAGCTGTTTTTAAAAACTTTTTTGTTCAAACACGACAGAGAGTCAGATTTGTTGAATGTCTTTTGTTTATGTATGTGGCCTGTGTGTGTGTGAGTACCTGTCCCTGGAGCTGGAGTTACAGGTGGCTATGACCCTCCCAACATGGGTACTGAGAACCAAAGTCTGGTCCTCTGTAAGAGCAGCAAGCTCTTCTCACTGCTGGGTCACCTCTCCAGCCCCTATTCCAGGGTTTCAGTTAGTGTTTGCCCTGCACAGTTACCAGCCTCTACCAGAGGAACATTGCTCTTAAGGGCCAGGAAGCATCCAGATCAGTGCTTGGTAACTGTGAAGTTTATTTCAATGCAGATTCTCTTAGCTCAAAGTCTGAATTCTTTAGATTCTAGGACATCAGTATGCACCAGTGACTAAAAGTGCACCATGGAAGTCATTCATAAAGAAGCCTGTCAAACACACACAGGGCTAACATTTTATGGACTTGAAATTTAGCTAAATGAAGTAGGCCTAACAGGAGATCAAGTCCTACTCTGCTACTTACTGGTCTATGATTCTGGATACATCACTTGTAAACTTTTAATGATCTTATTTACATTTATGTTTTCAGCATGTGTGTAGTATGTGCATGTATGTGCGTGCACACAGCCTTGGGGGCCAGTCCTTACCTTCCACCCTGAGACAGGGTCTCTTTGGCATTTGCTGCTGCATATAACATATTAGCTGGCTCTGGGGCATCTAGGGAGCCCAGGCATGGGCACTGTGCCTGGCTTTCGCAGTGTGACAGGACTCCAACTCAGATCTTCATTTGTGGGTAGCAAGCGCTGTCCGCTGAGCAGCTCCCTAGCTCCCTTCACTCCTTTACTCCTGTTTCCTACTTGATCATGGGGATGTCAGTGCTTCTTCGGAGCTCGAGCACCCTGTGACTAACAGAGACTACCAGCTCACATACTCAAGGTCTCGGCCACAGCTTTTCACTTTGTTATAACTACAGGACAAAGTCACTGGATTCCCTTAGCTAAAAAGAGCAGCTTCATGTTAGCATTAGGCACATTTTTACCTTTGTGTACGTTCTGCCTAAGTGTAAGAATCTGACTTTTAGCACAAGCCCCAAACCTCTGTTGTATTGTCATGTTTGTTTTCAAGGGTCTAAAAGTACTCAAGATGCTTCTGTTTCCCATATCCTGAGGCAAGTTTGAGAAGTTCAGCTTTGACCCTCTTATAACACTCAGGTTCAGCTCCTTTGTACGCCATTAGGGTCACCAAATCCCAAAGGACACCTTTACCTTTCTGAAATCTCTGCAACTCTGTTACTTCCATCAGCATGACTCGGCTGTCTGAGGATAAACTGCTTAGGTCTGCAATAATCACAATCCCACCCTACATTTACTTTCTTCTCAGCCTCAGGGATGCTGCAGATATTTCCTCTTGTTTTACTTGTTCAACCTCCTCTAGACCAGCTGACCCTGCTCCCAACAGCACACAGGGACAACAGTGGGCAGCTGGATTCACTCAGAAGGCTCAACAGGTGTCTCAAAGGTTCATGTTAAATAAGGTCCTGTTCCTCAAGTGTAACCTTGGCCCTGTCTTTCAAAGAAATCGGCCAACTTCTTTGCCTTCCTTGTCTGTCCCAGCAAACTATGGAGGCAGGCTTCTATTCTTCACACTCAAGAGACTGCTCATGTCCCATCTAGGTGGCACTCTGGACCACGACCCTTTCACCATCTAAAACATACAAGATCAAAGCTCAACTTTCCCAGATGTAACCATTTAATAGTTGGCTTTAGTTGGCTTATTTTCCACTAAAAATAAGGTCACTGACTGAGGCAATCATCGTTGTAAAACTGCAGGTTCTGATCCGCATCTGCCACAGATGTAACCGGTGTTTAGTAGAGTGGTATATATATGTCTCCTCCTAGGTTTCTGGGTTAAAAGTGAAAGCAACTGGTCCTAAAGTAGAAAACTGAACCTCCGACTTTTTTTTGGGGGGAGGGGTGGAGGACAGTCCAAGACTTAATACAGTATAAACCAGCTCACTGCTATCTGGTGGCTTAATTTTTTTTTTTTTTTAAGATGCTGGAATTGATTTTTAGTTTGCATATTTTTAAAATTTATTGTTTTAAGGGTTCTATCTGTTTTTAATTAGTTTCCCCTTTTATTAGTTATTAAGAACTGTATACAATGAATTTTGATCACATTCATCCCTCCCCGAATCTCATCCCAGATCAACCTCCTCTTTTTCTTCCTCTTTCTTCTTAAAAAAACCATTAAGTCCCATATACTCTTGGATGTGTGACCACTAACTGAAGTGTGATCAACATACCAGGGGTCACAGCCTTACAGACTCTCTCTAAGCAACTCAGCTGGTGGTGGGACTTAGTGTCTGCTTCGTCTTCCCATGCTGGGATTCTGTCTGTGCACACTGTCACAACTGTTGTGAGTTCACATGTACAATGGAAGGAGTTCAAATGGAGTTACCTTATAATGGGAGTGACACTGCCCCTGCCACAGGCTAACAAATGGGCTGCCTCCCTCTTTCAGAGCTATTGACCAGTGAAGTCCTATATCTGCAACATTAAGAGCTACTGTCAGTGCTCTTGGTTATCCTCCAGAATTGACAGTAAGACTACTGCTAAGCACACCACATCCCTAAGTCAAAGGACACGGGAAACCAAGCTCACACTGCCCTGGAAGCAGCACCCCTGCTGGCTAGCTTTCATAGTCTTGGAAGGCGCTGTGCATGCTACTGGACCAGGAAAGTAAGCTATTTTAAACACACACACATACATAAATTCTTTTTCAAATATCTGCAAAGTACAGTTTTCAATTTCTTTGTAAGTCTAACAAGACCACTGATTTTTCCATTTCTCATTTAAACAGTGTAAAGACTAGTTACACACAAACATCATACCCAACACACTGTATCACACATACACACACACCATACACAACACATTGTATCACACATACAGACATACACATCATACACAACACACTGAATCACACACACACACATTATATATATACACACAGACACACACACACCATACACAACACACTGTATCACACATACATACACACACACACCATACACAACACACTGTATCACACACACAAGAAGATGTTATGCAGACACACTGAACGTTAGATTTAATGGAGGTATGGAAGTACAGATAGCTGGAGAGCAGGTCTGGGTACTTGGGAGAAGGGTTGCCCCAATACACGTAGATCTGGGAGCCATCTGTACAGACCTAACAGCTGCTGCCATCTTAAATGAGGATCTGCATCCTGTGGTGAGCAGCCTGTGAGAACGGCGAACACTGATCTTAGTATGCTTCCTAGAAGGAATTATTGGCTAAAGGAAGCTGTTGGCTTAAAAAACATGAAGCCAGTGTCAGCCGTGTGGAACTTTACACAGAACACATTTCCTCCTTTTACCAAGGAAACAGTCTCTAAGACGCTAAAACCAAAAGAAAGCAAACTGAAATGACAATCTTTTATATTCACACCATTTTCATAGGATACTATGCTGGATATATTTTTTGCCAAGTTATAGTAACAGAATATATATTTATTAAGAATAATATAAGCAAGAAATGTGGCCTATAAGATCTAATATGGAATCTGTCAATGTAAACCAAACAGGGCTCTAAGTTCTCTGTCAATGATGTACTCTGGAAAGACAATGCTATTACCTCTTACTGGAACAACATTTCACTGATAAGGGATCTTAGTCATGCAAATAACAGCAACAGCCATTCTCTTTGGAAATTTAGTTGCGGCAAATGAGGTGTATGTGCAGGCTTGCCTGTGGGACCGACTACTGTCTACATCTTCCAGATCTGACTGGTCTCCAGGACTGAGTGCTCTCTGAGCCTCTCTCTGCCCCAGGTCCTTTGACAGGCACTCCTGCTGCTCTTCCTTCCTCTACACTAAATTTACCACCAGCCCAGCAGATGGTCATGTAGTGTAAATATCCTGCACTTATCTTTGCTGCCCTTGGGTTTTAGAGGTGAGCACTGTGCCAAACGTCAAATCTGACTAGTTTAATGAGTTCTTATTACCTTTGTTCACCGTCCACAGCCCAATTTACTTTGACTTAAATCCAAGCAGAATAAACCTCACCTTACAGTTAATGAAGGAAAATGGGAATAAAATACCAACCTAAACAAATTAAATAACCAATAAACAAACAAGCCCAGAATGCAAATCAGTTCCTTTTGTTCTATGGCTGTATAAAAATGATACAGTCTGCCTTCCCAGGTCTGGTAAAACTGCATTACCAGGCTACCTTAGTAGGGAAGTATGAGGCAACCATGCCAAGCTCATACTAAAATAACTAAAATGAATATCATTTCATTTTGTTAAAGTAATCTGGGTGTCAGATTCGTGTATGATTCGAACAATAAGCAAGCCATCTGCACATCCCTAAATGGTGACTAATGTCTGCTACTTGCGGTTATCTCAGATAACACATTTCCTCACATATTTTCTTTCCTTTCAGTGCAGGAGATTAAAGCCAGAGATTTGGGGAGCCAAGATGGCCAGCACTTTCACTGTCTCTCTCATTCCTGTGGACCGAGACAGGTGCCGCCCCTCAGTAGCAGTCTAGTACAAGGAGCTGTCGAAGCTCAGGGCTGGAGACGTGTTCTGGAAGTGATCTAGTCACTGATGAACACAGTGGCACTTCCTCAGGTCATGGTTTTCCAGAATCCTTCTCTTTGCCTTTCTATGTGGAATTCTTTCTAAGACGTGTGTGCAGCAGCCAGCCACCTGACTATGGGAGCTTTTGAGCTTCAAAACTGTAAATATAAACATTGGAACTCATACATTCTTGAGAAATTTTGGTTGCATCTGAGGATACTTTAAAATACTCGAGTCAAGTGTGGTGGTACACACCTTTAATTTCACCATTCAGGAGACAGAAACAAGTGGATCCCTGTGAGTTTGAGGCCAGCATGGTCCAAGTTCCAAGACAGCCAGGGCTATACAGAGAAACCCTGCCTTGAAAAGGAAAAACAAACAAACAAACAACAAACCAAAAAGCTAGATAGGTGATTGCTATGAAACTTGTGTGTGATTATTTTAGTATTTAACTAGAAATGATAAGCTTAGATTTCTAGATTTTTGTTGACAACAAAACAGTTAGTATAATAGTTAGCTACTTCACCTAACCTTCACCTAACCGAGCTAGTTAATTATACATAGAGAAAATGAGGAAAGCAATTTTACCTTATCAAATTTTGCTGCATATTTTCGACCCTCATTAAAATTTGGACCCCAGTCTGTGACTGTGTGTAGGCTTTCAATCTGAAAGAAAACATTAAGTGGATGAAGTAAAATTAATTTTAAATCTATTTCAAAATAGTCTTTACAGAGACTAAGCATTTATGAGTAGCTAATGTTTATAATTCAGCTATCCAAGAACAGAGAGAAAAAAAAATGTTCCCTAAGATGTGAAAACAATACCTAGTCAGAGCTGATTACACATCTGAAATTCAGTCTTGTCAGTTCATATGCTGAAAAATATACTTGTATCAGCAAACAGTCAGCTGCTTACCAATATACTGCCTTCAATTTAGTAACAAATGCTTTCTATCCATCAATGCCAAGTATCTGAGCAATGATAATAACCAGATTATCAATTAATCACGCTTTAACTGTCATAGCTGTCCCAAAGACGAGGCCTACTTCCTGCATGGCTTACAGGAGTCTGGCTGGCACTGTCTTCTTCAACAGTGAGAGACAACAGGATCAGATCAGACACTTAGGACCCACCAGGTGTAAACTTCAACCCTCTAGGAACCAAACCAGCATTCCCATCTCAAGAACAGGCCACCCAGTGAGAATGAAGTCACTCGGTTCCTGCCTGGGAACACTGACTGGATTCTCATCTGAGCACTGCCATGTGTACGCCAGGCCCCAAGGACTTCATACTTCTCTCTCACGCTTCCTGACTTTTTATCTAGTGTTATTCTAATTCCACTGATGGAGAAATTAAAGCATGGTGGTGAAGCAGTTTGCTCTGATCACACAGTTCATAAGAGGCAGACAGAGGTAGCTATTTAATTCACATATCCAGGATGAAACTTTCTACTAAGCTGTGCTAGCCACTTTTGATCATGCTGTATTTTTGGAGGCAAAGTATAACCTTATTCTTTGAGGACTTGGCTGAAATTTAATTTCCTGTCTTTAACAGTTATTAGAAAAGCTTTAAGTTCTAGAATTTTTAGTTCAATGTGAAAGGCAGTCTGGTCTAAGACGGAGACTATAGACTTCAGTCCAATAGGGGTCTGAATCTCAGCTTCCTTGCTTATTAGTCACAGAAGGTTATTTAACCTACTTAAGACTCGGTTTCTTTACCTGTAAAATGGGTATGAAGTAGTGTCTCCCCATACAGAGCTGCTGGAACAGTTAAATGAACTGACACCACTACTGCCTACTTGAGGAGTGTCTGTGGTATGGTAACAGCACTACTTTTACAATGACTGAGCCTCAGCAAATTCCAACAACGTATTTAATTAAGTCATAACTTCCTATAATAAATACACACTTAAAAATACTTTAATAACATTTGCATCCAGCAAGACGACCCAGCAAGCACAGATGCTTGTGGGTGAGCCTGGTGGTCTCTGTTCTAGCCTGGACAGCCACATGGTGGAAGGAAAGCCCATTTCCACAGCCTTCTTTACTCTGTGTGTGCTCTGCAGCATGAGTATACAGACAAGTGCACAGTCATACAACATTTTAAGTCAACAGTTTAAATCTTGTCAGAAAGCTAAAAGATTTTTGAAACATACCTCTGACGAATCACAGGATCGGACTTCTCGGGATCGATGTAAGGTTTTAGAATTTCATTAATAGTTTTATCGTCTGGTACTCTTTCCAGAGAAGAAAAATAATTACATTATTATTTACAATTGCTACTAAGTGTTAACTTAAAACTACTAAATTTGGTGTAAAAACTGGCATGGACCCTTTATTTTACTCTTGGCAAAATATAGCATAAAACATTCTTTCATGCTAAGTTTTTGCTGAAGAAAAGCATAGGAAGACTTTCTAGGAACATGTGATAAAGTCTTTAAAAATTTAGAAAATCTCCTTATTAATCATTTATAACAATATGAAGCTGCTTTTAATGTATACCCATGTTCAAACTTTAAAAAGTTAAAACTGAAACATGTATAAACATATCTGAAAACATATCTGAACATGTATAAACATATCTCAAGGAAACATATCTGAAGAATGCTCAGGACACTGCAATTCAGCCAGCGTTCTGTTCATTCAGTCAGAGACACAAATCAGGCTTTAAAGCTGATACCAATTTCCCTGGAATGAAGCATTTTAGGTTTTCAAACTTTCCTGTATATGCACACAGCTTTTCTATATTTTATATTCTATATTCTCTTCTATTCTATATTCTGTTTCAATATTATCTACATTTCTATAAAAGCTGCATAACAAAATCAAGACTCCTCTGAAATAGCAATTTAACTCACTGAACCACTCCGTCACACCTCCTTATATAAGCAAGACCAGTTGTGCCTTCTGCTTGGTTAATAAAATTCGCTGTTAACTCCCTGTGACGATTCCAAAGACAGAATGCACAGTGGGGACAGATGCTGAGGACAGTACCTAACATCCACATAGAGCCACACAGCACAATAAAATCTGAGTGACACTTGGATACATTCTTAGTCAAAAAACCTTAACAAGCCTTAATAATATTAAGTTATGTACTTATGCATGCATATGTATATACATTATGATGTAAACATACATGTTTCATACAAATACCTATAATATTTTTTGAGGATTCTATCACTATAGAGGAGTCTCTCTACAGTAGAATTCTTGGTTATCTTTCATGTCCTATGTAAACACTTAGATTCAGACCTCCTGATTCAGATCATACACCTTCCCTTAAATCACGCTTCCTGCTCAAATAATTACTGCCACGGTTATGTTAGCTCTTCCCCTTCAAGTTCAACCCACTTTGTAGACATTCCTGAAATGGTTAAAATGTCTGGAGTTTTCCATACTCTAGACAGAATCACGTCAGCATCGTAGATGATTTGATCTGCACGCTGCTGGGCTCGGCTGCAGGTTCCTTAATCACCGTCAATGGGTGCTGCACTGTGTGACACGCACAGCCTAGGTTATTTAGCCACTTGCCTGTGTAATTCCAGAGCCTTAAAGTAAAACATCTGTAACGGACAGTGGTAGTAGCATCGTACCTTTTTTCTATATACTCCGCTTGACTCTGGGGAAACTGGAGCTTTACATGCCAACAAAACTGCTGTTTCCTAGGAGAGAACAATCATGAGCGGATTAACGTAGAGAAGAATCAAAGCTCATAGATCAGATCAGAGTTTCCACTGTAGGATTTTCTATAGTGGGTCTCAAAACTTAAACTACGGCTTTTATTCAGTGCTGCCTGCCATTTTCTAAAGTCTTGGGAGCTATGTTCCCAGAGTAATAAACCTGTAAGGTTGACAAGAGGAAAGAACAGAAGTGAGACAGTTCTGAACTTGAGGGATGTTTGTCTTCCTGAATTAGAAGGTGGTTTCTCATAGCTGGGGCTTTGGAGATTGGTAAGCTTGCATTCAGAGTTTACACACATTTCCTCATGACTAAGCACAGTGAGTTGGTGTCCTCCTGACTAATCTAGAAAGCAGGTGAAGAAGTCCTGTCCAGTTGAGTCCAGCTGGTTGTCCATACACTTGTGAGGATGACTATGTGCATTCAGTAGCAAAACAGGACACAACAGGCTGGTTGCTAAGCAAAATGAACTAAGTGTCACTACTTTCCATCTAGACTTTGGTCTACATGGGACCTAAACCATAACCCACTGTTTGCTTTTAGAAAAATGACCACATACCCATCAGACCCAAATTAAACAAAATGAAACTAAAAAACAAAAAACCCAACTACTGTTTGAAGCAACATTACAGAAATTTATAACTCTTCACTTGAAATGATGGCTTTATATAGATCTCTTCTGATTCTTTTTTCAAACAGGGTTTCAGGGTCTCCTCTGTGTTTTTTTGAAAAAGAGTTTCAGGGTCTGACTATGCAGCCCTAGCTAGCCTAGAACACTTGCTTTATAGGCCAGTTTGTCCTTGAAGTTAGAGGTCAGCCTGCCTCTTACCTGGCCTACATGTATTTTCTTGTCTTAGAAGAAAATTTTTACCATTCACTTGCTATATCTCTTCTAGGCAATGATCACTAGTAATCTTTTTGAAATTTACTCTGTAATAAATAGTAGAACCCCAAACCTAACTATTTTGTAAAAAATACAACTTTAGCAGCATATTTTCCACCAAAGCATTTATAAGATTTAGTAAGGAGGAGGTGGCGGCGGCGGCGGCTTCTTCTTCTTCTTCTTCTTCTTCTCTTCCTCCTTTTTTCCTCCTCCTCCTCCTTTCTTCTTTCTTCCTTTCTTTTTTTTTTTTTAAAATCTGAAGGCAGTGACTATGCCAATGATAATCCTGTCCATTAGGTAAGTTGCCACACATTTGAATACAGCAGGTTTTTTTTTTTTTTTTTTTTTTTAGTATTAAGGCAGGTTTTGAAAAAGCTGAAGAAAAAAGTACAGAGATTATGTATGTGTTTACAGTGCCATTATTATACAAGAAACAACTGAGTTAAGTTTAGTTTGGTTTTCTTTTCCTGATAGAACAACATCAAAACACACATTACTAATATAGGAGCCTGATATCTAGTACCTCAGAGACAAAGAACTTTTACAGAGATCTGAACACAGATGTGGCAGCTACTAGTTTTAAGCAAGCAATTACGGGACTAGCATGCTGAGCCATCTCACTGGCTCTTCCCTGAAGACTTGTAGTGTAACTGAAATTCATGTAGGCATAACTGATAAGTAATACCCAACAAGAAATAGATGCACACAGACAATCAAACTTGCTCTGGAGACTCAAAAGAATTGTTTTCAAATTCTCATAATTACATATGGTGAAACACAAACAGCTTAAGATATGAACATCTACTAAAGCCAGAATGCTCCCTGGTATCTTCTGAAGACACATTCCAAGATTCACTCACCTCATCAGGCTGGCTCAGTGCTTCTCAATCATGGCAGGGCCAGCATTTTAGACCAGCTATTTCACTGTGCCAGAAACCCACTGGAGGATGTTTGATGGAGTCCCAGCGTGACCCACTACATGTTTTAAGAACTCAGGCTTCCAGTTCTGACAAACTATAACTGAAAATGCTCCCCAGCATCCCCAGTAGAAAAAAACCACCATAAACCAGTCCTGAGACAGAGGTTAGCACTTATTATCAGTCACTTCAACTCACTAGGGCTACCGTTCCCCAGACTCAGTCAGATGTGTTCAACAACAACATGGTCATTGAACCCTTGGCAAATCCACTTTCTCAAGAATGAAAATACCACTTAGAACATTCTCCATAACTTAAACAACCCAAGGCACTTATTTACAGCTGACTCGATCAGTGAAGTGGTAGGCACAGTTATTAACAGTACCATCCCTTTCTGGACAACTCATAATGCAGTATCAGTTATTGGGAGTCCCACGAAACCAAAGGTATCAAAGGGTTAGCAAGGCTGTGGTGACATTTTCTTATCTTTCCCCAAATATTCACATGAAAATACACACACACACACACACACACACACACACACACACACACACACCGACACACCCCATGCATTCAATAGAGCCAGTACTGTCCCAATGTCTTTTGGATAGTCAACAAAATCTTAATATGCATTAAGATTAAGCCTCCACAGGGGCAATATATAAACAGACATCCAATGTGTGAGAGAGAGGAAGCACCACAGGATGTTAGGAGGAGAATGTCTGAAAGGCTCCCCAGGAGAGGGAGGGTAATAGAAGGAATGGAAAAACTGATGGCACATGTACGAAACAGGGAATATAAATATTAACCAATATGTAATCCAAGAGTTATACATATTTATCAACCCTCACTTACTTGGAACTTTGAAGCATCATCCTTTCCAAGTTTCAATAAAATAATATGTAGATGAAGACACTGGCAGGGGGTTCTACGATCATGTACTCAATAATTCTTGACTTTATTTCTTAAATACTGCCATTTTAATCTGAAGCTCTACCAGAATCCTAAGGAATATACAAATTCAAAGTCATCAGCCCCTGATAAATGGTACTACTGCTCATGCTACAGGGTTGTTCAAATGCAGTGAAAAAATGCACAGAGAAAAGAAATATGGTGGTTATCAGACTTGCAGATATACTCTCAAAATTAGTAGCACCAGGACAATGGAGAAGAATAGACACTGTCCTTTGCTGGCCAAAAAAAGAAAAGAAAATAGATAAAAGCCCCTGGTAATGCAATTTCATAGAAAGCTATAAATAAAAATTTATCATTTAAAACAGTATAGGTTTTGGCCATCAGTTTCATTCCTAGGAATTTATACTAAGGAAAGGACTGGGCAAGTAATAAGATATGCATAACTGTCCACTACACCACTTGCTACAGCAGGGCTATCGGAAACAACCTCCATCTTAAGGAAACAGATTTACATAGTGAATGTTAACTAGTTCTAGGGGACAGGCAGAGCTATGCAGTGAGGTAGCAACGTACGCATGCTGAATGATGTACTTTCAAGTCTGAGAGTATGACATGAAATGCCTTAAGTCTTATTTAAGAATAGGTCTGCATTACATAAATCTTTCACATATGAGTTGTTATTTTCCGCTATTACTAAAATCAAAGATATTTTCTATGAGAAGTACAGATAATAGTGAGACAAACACTGGAAGTAACCCTTGTATCTTTTAAAATCTAAAATACGTCCTTGTTAGAAATTCACCTGAACATGTCTCCTTACAAACTATTACTCGGGGCTGCTGGGGTAGATGGTTCAGCTAGCAAATGATGTGCTTGCTGGATGACCCGGGTTTAGAGCCCTGGAGCTAGCTCACTGGCTGCCCAGCCCAGGCCAGTCAGTGAGTGGCAAATAAGATACAGTCTCAAAACACAAACAACCCCCACCAAAACCCCAAAACAAATGTGGAGAGTGACTGAGGAACACTGACCCCTGGCCTACACACTCATAAACACACAGGCCCAATGAGGACTGGATTATGTATGTAATTATTTTGATAGCCTCGAAGGTATTTTGGTGAGAAATATGATATAAATAGCCAGGCACATGCTTATAATCCCCAAATGTGGGAGGCAACAGACACTTAACTGTCGATTTCTGTGGTTACATTTACTTATCTACTTTTTGAGTATAACAGAATTGTCTACACAGCCGGAGTTTGCCTCCTCCTCTGTTGGCCCTCAGTATTAAACTAGATTAATAAGGCTTGGCAGCCATCACATTTCCTCACTGAGCCATTTAACTGACCCTGGTCTGTCGTCTTCTTGTCTTTTTTTTGTGATTTTTGAGACAAGGTTTCCTGGCTGTCCAGGAAATCAATTTGTAGATGAGGCTGGACTCAAACACAGAGATCCACCTGGCTCTTCCTCACGAATGCTGGGATTAAAGCTTGTGCCACCACGCCTAGCTTTGTTTGTGCTTTTAACAAGTATTTCTAACTATTTTTGAGAACAACATTGACATGACGTCAGCCTGACCCGTAACTTGAGAGTGTTAGATACAAATGTCTCTCTCCTAGGATAGTTTGCAGATGCCCCAGCAAAGCTCATGTGCTGGAAACATGCTTCCTATCGACCTGTGCAGAGGTGGAACTTCTGAGACACGACTGAGCACTGAGGGCTCTGCCTGCATGGAAGGATCAGTCCATGCACACGTCAATGGATTAATGTGGAGGTGTTCCAGGATGAATGTATGCTTCTCTCTGGCTGGCTTGTTCTGTCTCCCCATGTGATAGCCAGTGAAGACTTCTTGCTTCTCTTAAGACTTCTCAGTCTCTGGAGCTGGAAGGAAGGTTCAGCGGCACTTGCTGCTCTTCTGGAGGACCTGGCCTCAGTTCCCAGCACCCACATCAGACAGCTCACAACTACCTAAAACTCCAGTTCCAAAGGGCTTTCCTCTGGCCTCCAAGAGTACACATGTGTGATATGTACATTAAAACAGTAGCAAAATTAAGTTTAAAAAGCTCTTAACCTCCATAGTCATGAAAATCAAACTCTAGTGTGTGTGTGTCCATTTTCCTAATCCTTAACCACAGTCTGGCTATGGACTCACACCCTCCGTCAGAGTACTTTCCTGGATACAGTACCTCAGGGATGGGTAGTTTCTGACTCCAGGTCACCCCTGTACTCCTTCCTGATATCTGCTTTAATACAGGCTGTTACTAGCAGGGCTTCATGACCATGCCAATTATGCTCACACCACAGAAGATGCAATGAAAGCCCTGGAGTTAACTCCTTGCACCCCAAAACAAAACAAGAAAAGCAAAGAGAGGACACCAAGAAAAATCATAAAGAAAAGCAGGTCCTTGACATTGTAAACAGTCTTGAAGTCCATCCTCCCTCTGAACAGTCTGAACATCAACATGAGATTTCAAACTGCCGAGCTGGTCTGACCTGGGTACTATTCTAGTTTATGTATCATCACGCATCCTATCCGATACGGGACTGAAGTTTTCTCTTCTCAGATGCTCTAGTCGGCTTTCTTTTGCTGGGATAAACACCAGGAGTACAAACAAGAGAGAAGAACATTTATTTGTCTTTCAGGTCAGAGTCTATCATGGAGGGAAGCCAATACAGGAACTCAAGGCAAGAGCCTACAGGCAGAAACCCAAGCACAGACCATGGGTGAGCACTGCTCACTGGCGTGCTCAGCTACTCTTCTTACAGAGCTCATGCCAGCAGACCCAGGGATGCTATGCCCCACAGTGGGTTGAGCCTCTTAACAATCAAGAAAACATGGCAAACATGCACACATGCTAGTCTGATGGAGGCAATTAATTCCTCAGCTGAGGCTCTTTCTTCCCAGGTATGTCTAAGTTTGTGTCAGGTTGATGAAAACCAAGACACTACACTTCACCTTTCATTTATAAGCAACAGACAGGAAGACAGATGTAAACTGCCAGCTGTTAGGACATTTAGAAACATCAAGTAATACCTGATGGAATTTTAGGAATATAAGCATTTTGTTCCACTTGCAGCCATAAAATCTTATTTTAATTGAAAACTGAAAGAAAATCTACCAAATTTGGAAGCCCTTGAAGGGCAAATGCATGAAACAGCTACACAACCCTCCACTCACAGCCTCTTGACCTTTAAAGTATTTTTCATGACGAAAACTTAAAGTCTCTCAAAAATAAATGCAACACTTCCTCATAAAAATAATTTATTAGGATTAGTACCATGATTACGTATTTCTGGAAGCATGGATATAAAGGATCTGCTCAGTTACTTAGTCTGTATTTAAATAACTACGTTTGAGAATGAAAACCACAATTTTGTCTCACATCATTATGAAAATACTTTCAAAAGGACTGGTTATATTTCACCCATGAAGCACTGACCATGTGGCAAAGGTAAACAGGTCAGCTAGGCAGTGCTGGAGTGCACAGGAGACAAACTAAGGAAATGCATGCAGTCCACGAAAGCTGAGACGAAAGAGAAAATTTTAACCACTTGCGGCAGTCTTAACTGGCTGTGCGGTAGAAGGAAGTGGCATTTGGAAATAACTAGCTAGGTCTAAGACTGGGGAGCACAGAGCCATTTACTAGGTAAGGTTCAAGAATACAAGTTTTTCTAGAAAGTATCAAAGGGCTCCACACACACACAAATAACCAGAAGCTCCTATGGGGAGACTATGACAGAGGAAGGCGAGCAGATATATATACATACCAAAAAGTGGTGTTCAATGCTGACATCTGTCTCATGTTAACTGTGGAGAAAAGAAGTACTACAGGAACTTAGGCAAGGGACATGACGGAGGGCAGATGAGCTCTGTGTATGTACACTTGCACAGATGGTGAGGCAATGCAGAAGAGGGAGGCGTCCTAGGAGTCAGCAGGACCGACACCCTGGGGTTACCTCAATTCAGCAGGAAATCAGGAGGGGACAGACTACACAGACTGCCTGTCCATAGGGGCCTACCTCAATAAACTCCCTGGGGTAGCATGGCAGGCACGTCCACAGCCCACTATGCCTCACTACCCTGAGCTCTAGACACACAAAATTACCTCTACCTCCTCTGTCTTAAACTCCCTAGGCCTTTGGAGTTGCTGTCATACCAGCAGACCACAAAGCTGTTTCCCTTCCTGAACCTTGATGAGGTCTGGATATACAATGCTCTCATGCTGTCGTACACCTTGGGGAGGCTATGGAACATAAAGGTGAGATACAGCTGGAAGAATGAGTTGCTGGGCTACAGGCCTCGAGCATTCGTCTATTAGTCTAGCCCCATGTCTAGGCCCCAGTTTTTCTGCATCTGATCTACCTGGATGAGATAAACCCTGCCATGTTTTCCCCACCCTAACAACTGTACCCTCCTCTTAAACCACACTCCTTCCTCCTTTCATTTGCCTCGTCAGGGATGTGGTCACAATACACACTGCTCTTACTGGTTCTGTTCTCTGGTCTCGGGCAGTGAGACTTGTGCATCTACTGCAGCCCGTATGCAAGCACTCCAATCAGTAGCACCGACTGTGCAGAGGCCAAACAGCTGGGCAGGTGCTACTTGGTACATAGGCCAGGAGTTTTCAACCAGAGCCAGATTTCAAACTCATCTGGTGCTTTTTAAAAATAAGGATCTCCTAAGATCAATGAGTTAACAGCTCTGTTTATCAAGCCTAATTCTAAGCTTCAGAACTGGTCCACACTTCTGAAAGGCGCTCTGAACTGAACACCACTCAAACATCACAAACAGTCCCGTCACTGTACGGGTCTTCTTTTATACCGAAGGCAATAGGCACAGAGAAGTAACTTGCCAAGAAAACTCCCCTCACGTAACATCAGGCTTGACCATGGTGAGCACGAAACAAGCAGAGAGTATTACCAATGTTGTAATCTTCTTTAACTAGCAAACACACAAGGCATCTCCCATTATTCATGAGAAATACCTGAAATGGTCTTTGCTCTGCTTAAAACAGAGAAATTCAGGTTGCAGAGTGATTGAGAAGTAACTTCTAGCCATGGAAAGAACAAGACATTTCAGACTTTCAGACACAGGCCAGGTGGTGAGATTACAGAGTTAAACTACTGGCAGGCAATACTGCCAACAGCCAATGGAGCCATCTGAGGCACTGACTACAGTAGGCAAGAAGCTACAATATTCTGAGTAGGTGGCCATCATGGTAGAAGCATGCTGACTGAACATGACCGGAGTGTTAGGTTTTCCACTCAGTCCTTTACCAGCACCTTGGGAAGGTATGCCCTAGGAAGCAGTGTCCTAGAGCTCCCTTGCTTCTGTTGGCATGGCCACAGTCAGGGGAGGCTGGACGGGGACATCAGGCTTCTACTTCTTCACAGTGCTTTTGGAAGACCCTGCAGTCAGTCTGAAATTCCTCCATACTATCTAAAAGCAGAGTTGAACACATGAGCGCAGCCGTGAGTCTGCACCATGTGCCTATTACACTGCCCTCTGACCCTCACTGTAAAGCCCACTTGTTCTCCACACCAGTGAGACTCACCATCTCACTTATCCTTGCTCCTTTCTAAGTGAAGTTATAGACAAGTACAAATCTACATTTACACAGAGACCATGTGAACAATGTTAAACAATCCTGTGTTTAAAAAATGCACTGCCACAACAATTTAAGGAAACGAATGCAATTATGTTAACAAACAAGTAGACGGCCATGTTACATTATATAATTAGAAAGCTATAATTGTATCTAAAGAATAAAATACTTTTAAATTTGTAAAATGTTTAAATCTTTACAAGAGGGACACCTAGTGGCTAACTTCTAAAACAGGACTGGAACACTTAAATACTAGTTCACATTTTTACCAATGGGCATGTCTCTATGATTTTAATTCTATAAAAATGACACATACTTCTGTAGAAAGCAGAAAACCAAATGAAACCAAACCCTAAGTCCAAAAGATGGATTAAGAAGTTTAGGACTCCCAGTTCTAAGCAGGAGGTAGAAGAACAGTACTAAGCACAGGGCTTAGGGGTTTTCTAGAACTGGGTGAGGTAGAGGAAGGTGAAGCCTGAGCCCTTCTGGGGAACAGGTCGTTAGGCCATACAAGAATACAGGTTCAGAGTAGAGCTGATCACACAGGCTGAGTGCTCCTAATGAATGACTGGAGCTTTAATCAGCAGCCATCTTCAGAGAGGCTTCTTTCTGCAGCAGATGGGAGCAAATACAGAGATCCACAGCCAGACACTGTGCAGAGAGGAGGGAGGGAGGGGGATATGGAGATATATATATATATATTATGTATATGTGTAAAAAAAATCTCTCTCTCTCTCTCTCTCTCTCTCTCTCTCTCTCTCTCTCTCTCT